ACCACGTCCCCATGGTCACGAGAGAACATGCGGAGGCTGCTCCCGACCTGCAGGTAGCGCCATTTGAAATGAAAAAAAAGAAAGGGAAAGAAAAGGGGGGGGGGGGGGGGGGGGGGGGGAGAGGGGGGGGAGGGGGGGAAGGGGGGGAGGCGGAGAAGACTCTGGGTAACGTGGCCAGCCCCTATCCATCAGTCAAATGCACCCTGATGGGCATGGTGTCCTGGTTCCATCTCCTGCTGATGAGTCGTTAAGAGTCTGACGAAACGGTAAGCCTTGGGCACCGGGCCCGTGCGAAATGAAATTCCATGTGGAAATAAAAAAAGAAAAAAAAAGAAAAAAAAAGAAAAAAAAAGAAAAAAAAAGAAACGGTTTATAGCACAGTTGGTGAGATGATTTTTTTTTACAACACGAAGTTGAAGTTTTTCTTAAGCTTTTGTGGAGTTGTGAGAATGAATTTTCCCAGAGAACGTGGAAAGACACACTCGCCATGAATCTGGTCCTTTTTGTGCATGTGGTGAGTGATGGAAGGCAGGCCCATGCACACGCAAGTACGAACACAACAGTGCGCGAAAGTCTGACGAACGTTTTTTAAGTTATACCCCTTTAGGTGGAGCTACGGAGTTTTTTAAGTTATACCTCCCTCCTCTGCGCAACCTCCTAAGTGAATCGGGTCCATTGTCGAATTGTCGGATCAGTGCGAATGTATGTAGTGCTGAGAACAGTCCCGGCTAATGTAGAATGTGAGTAACACAAAAGATGAAAGTTTGACGAAGGCCTGTCATTTCATTGTCATAGTCACCCATTTCTGTGAACGTGCGCTCAGTCCTTCGGGACATCCGTTAAAACTGGAACGATACAGAGAAGGGTAGATTAGCAAATGGCCCCTGCGCAAGGAGGACACGCAGAAATCGAGAAATAGTCCAAAACAAACAAAAAAAAAAACCTTGCGTTCTGCGATACACCACACGCAACGAGGAGAGGAGTCGTAAGGGATGGCATTGTGCGCAGAGTCTTCCACTCTCGAGGGGGGTGAGAGTGCCAAGTTGTAGTCAAGAGTAGGTAGTCGACGTGTTTGCGGAAAGGTGCAGAGAATCCAGATTGCACTGCGTTTCGGAATCTCCATTCTAAAACCATCCAGATTCAGACACTCTAAAAAAAAAAAAAAAAAAAGTTGTAGTCAACACCTCTGCGAATGCTTAGGAAGGCTATGATGCAGTCTCACGCACCAAGGCCTTAAGACATACGGATAGAATTTGGCTGACCTGCCGATAACGCAATGACGCGCGGGGTAATGAATGGGATTGGGTCTCTCGCTCCACTACTCGCTCACCAAATGTGCAATACAARAGAWGTGAATGGTTCTCCYCCCCCCCCCCCCCCCCCCCCCCCCCCCCMAAAAAAAAAAAAAAAGAAAACAAAAAAAAGTGCAAAGTGAGGGCAGGCTCACACTGAGATAGCAGATCTGCATAATCCCAAAAATCCCCAAAGAAGTAGTGTCGAGAGGGGCAGTCACACCCGGGTGGCATTTTTGCAAACTGCTTATTATACGTGAACCCTTGTGTGTCAGCGGCCTGAGGGAGTGGGAATTTGCCGTAACCCCGGGAGGTTCCAGGGGATTCCTGATTCTTTTTTGAATTAACTGTCCAAAAAATGATAGAAGTAAACAAGATACTGCGGGGATAGCAATTGGGGGAAAAGTAAAAAAAAAAAAAAAAAAAACCCAGAAAATCGGGTGAGGGAAAAAGGCTGTGCGCAGTGTGACCAGGTACGTCCGAAGCTCCACACGGGGTGAGCTGCCGCCATCGGGAAATGGGAGATTTGGGGACATGGTGTGACTGCTGGCACCACTGTTTTCCGAAATCAGGCCTTTCTAGTTTTTTTTTTTCTTTAAAATTGTATTATTTGAATTTATTTCTCGATTTATGCGTGTCATTCTTGAAAGAGCAGCTGAGCCTTGCTAATCTTCATTCTCTGTATTGTTCCAATTTTAACGGATGTCCTGAAGGACCTTTCTACTTTTTAAGATTCGGCGGATTTGCTACCGCAGTGTGAGCCTTCCCTGAGAGTGGGTGAATCTTTGGCTCGCCTTCCCTGAGAGTGAGTGATTCTTTGGCCCGAATTGGGAAAGATACGCCGCCTTTTTTTTTTTTTTTTTTTTTTTGTCTTCCATGCGTGTCGAAGTAATGGAGCGAGAGGCCCATTGTGCGCATTCTTTCCACTGACAGGCCAGTGCTGTGTTGGAGCCTATGGGCCTCGCTGCATTACCTTCAATTGAAGGCCAAATAACTCATGGAGTTTCATATAATGCAACTTTTCACGTAATTGTTTTGTTTCTGTCTGTATGACAATCAATTGTTTATGGATTTTCATTTCAAATTGTTCTCTAGACTTCTTATCAATATGAGGTGATCGTAACACTGTATATAACGTGCGTGTTTTTGGTAATCTAAGAGCTCGTGTACTCTCGAAATGTGGAAAACGAGAGTGAATCTTCCGCTAGAATATGGAAAGATATACGGCCAATATTTTTGTCTTTTGTGCATGTCGAGAGTAGTGCAGCGACGCCCTATACCTCTGCAAATGCTACAGACTTTCACCCAAATAGAACGCCCAGTCATCGTAGCTGTATTTGTGGCAAGTTCGGCCCTACATACAGGGATAATGACCGGGTGTTGTTCTATTCGGGTGAACAGTGTAGTAGTGCTATATGCATTCTTATGCACCAAGGCCTGAGACATAGCAGTGCTGTGCAGTGCTCTACGCAGTCTCACGCAGCAAGGCCTGAGACATTGCAGGGATAATGATTGGTGGTTCTATTCGGGTGAAGACGGTAGTAGTAGTGCTATACGCATTCTCATGCACCAAGGCCTGCGACATATGCAGTGCTATACGCAGTCTCACGCAACAAGGCCTAAGACATAGCAGTGCTATGCAGTGCCACGCAGCAAGGCCTGAGACATACGGATTGAGTTGGTTGATCAGAGGACACGCAATGGCATTCTGTGTATTCTTCCGGTCTGACGGGCGAGCGCTGAGTTGCAGTCCATCCCTGCGCAAATGCTCGTAATGCAACGCACTCTCCGGCAGCAAGCCCTGAGGCATCCTCTCTCTCTCTCTCTCTCTCTCTCTCTCT